TCTTTGTTTTTATTTGATGTTATTGCATATTATTATTACTGTATATTTTTTATTTTATATTGATACTTTAAATTTTTTGTATTGTATATTTTTATTTGTATTGATACAAATACTGTATGTAAAACAAATATGCTAATAAAGTAAATTGAGAGAAACTAGACAGTTTTTTTGTTTTCGGAAGAAAATGTGCTGTTCGTGATTGCCAGGATGTTGATAGGCAGTTTCTTAGATGTTCAGAGTGGCTGAAATAATAAAAAAATAAATAATAAAAAAAACCTTATAATACTTAAATGAAAATTAGAAATGTTGCTTTGGCGACTAACTGAAAAATGTACGTTTAAAGTTGAAATACAAAAATTGCTAAAACTGAAATTAAATAAATTAAAGCTATATATATAGATACATATTAACAAAAACATAAAACATAAAAATGACAAATGCACATAAAATACAACAAATTAAACAAATTAAAATAAATCTGAAAATATAAAAATAAAGGCTAATTCAAATTATTAATAAACTATAATAGTATATAAATAATACTAAAGCAAACTTCAGAAAATATACAAATGTACAATTATAGTGTTTAATATTTTTTTCTTTACTTGAAGTATTTTACACCTTGTCAATATTGTACATTTGAATAATCATGCCTATAAAGCTTTGTCTCTATTTTGTTTAAATATTTTTGTAATAATATTAATATTATTAGATGAAAAACTTAAACTTAAAAACTTAGAAATTAGAAAGGTTGCTTTGGCAACTAACTGAAATAAATAAGTTAAAAAATATATTTTTTATTATATAAAATATGTTTATATAAACACTAAAAAAAAATTATATAAATACTACAATTACTAAAACTTAAACTGAAATAAAAATAAATTAAAGTAGAAAACAAAAAATAATAAAAACGACAAAAGCACATAACAAAATGACAAACTAAAATTAAAATAAAAGATATAAAAATAAAAGCTAATTTAAAATATGAATAAATACTATAATAAAGAATACTATAATAACAGTGGCACTAGTGAAAGCAGGCGAGCTTAGAGTGAACAATGGGCTTTTAAAACTCTAATCCTGAACACACACATGTGCACTCTCACACACGCAGATAAACTTATCATCAGAGTCCGGCTGCCGTCGTATTTATTTACTCAGCGCTGTGTTTGGATTGGCCGAAACCACGGCAGGTTTCCTGTCAGTTAAACTTGTGAGCCTTCCGGCACAGGCCGGACCGAAGCAAAACAGACACACAGTGCTGTGAAAATACGGCCGACTGCCATTCAGAACAACAGAGATGGAACGCAAGCCGGAGCTCATGAATATGTCATGATAAACTCTGTGGTCCTTCAGCGGTAATAGTGATGCTGAAATATTCATTCATGAAGATCACATGACCAAACACACACCACATCCTACTACACCATAATTAGAGACAGCAGCTGCTTCAGAGAGGACATTTAAATGGGTCCTATTATGCTCTTTTACAAAGTCTTGATTTTGTTTTGGGGGTGTACTAGAACATGCTCTCATACTAGGTTGTTCGAAAAACACATTATTTTTCACATATTTTACATTATTACAACACCTCTCTCCCCAGTCTGGCAAAACGAGTCGTTCGTTGTAGTTTTTGAAAAGTGATATCTGTTAAATAAAATATTTCCTTTTGAAGTGGACTTTGAGCTTTGTAACTTTGCAGATCGTTTTTATGCTCAAACAGCAACATTACAGACTAACTAAAGTTGAAAAAGTGAAAAAGCATAATAGCACCCCTTTTAGATCGAACCAGTGATAATGCCATTAATGCTGCATTAATTTGCTAATTAAGGAAAACATCACTATTAACCGTTAAAATAAACCCAACCCCTAAAATACTCCGGCGCTAGCATCGCATGGTATTCTATCAGTGCACTGGTTTCACCTTTTTTAATGTGAAAAACTATACACTTGAAACAATAATTAAAAATGTATTAAATTGTTTAAAAATATGTAATTAAACTACTTAAATATAATTTTTTTTACTTAGATATTTTATTTTTTTAAATAATATTATAATAATAAATTGCATAATAATTTTAATATTTAACAAATCTGTGCAATATCCACGCAAACTGAAAATAATTAATACAGTAACATAATAGCAATGACATGCTATAACAATATTTTTTCTGCTTTTCTGTGCCAATGCAACTTGAGGATTTAACTGAAAATAAAACGAAAATAAAAATAATTAAAAATAATTAAAATTTAAGTAAATTAATTTAATAAACCATAATTAAATCTAATTATTTTATAATTATATTCTAATATACAAAAAAACCAATAATATCTTTGCATAAACTGTAAATAATTAATGCAACAACAGAAAATGAAAAGGGTTTAACTGCAATATTGCATGAAAACAAAAATGTATTCCTTTAAAAAAAGTTATTTAAATTATTTAAACTTTTTTTTTTTAAATATATTCATTAAAAATATGATTAAACAAATTATTTTTACATAATGCTTAATATAACAATATAAATGCAATGTTGCATGAAAACCTGTTAAAATAATACACTTTAAAAGTAATAATTTAAAGTAATTTTTAAAAATGTATTAATTAATTAAACTATAATTAAACAAAATATTTTTCTATAATGCTATCTAATATACAGTTCAACAATAATAACAGCAACAGTAAACTGCATAAATAATATCCTTGTGTAAACTGTAAAAATGAATGCAACAGTATTAAAACACCCTGCAATATTGCATGAAAATAAAAATGTTTTTAAAACTGTAAAGAACTAAAGTTAAAAAAATTCATAAAAAATGTAAACTAATTTTACATAATATTTATTTATATTAATATTTACACTGATATTTATTTAAAATAACTAATAATAAAAATAAAAAATAAATTAAACAAATATATTAATTTAAAATATAATTAAACAAATCATTTTTATATTATAATTAATATAACAACAATAATATCCTTGTTTAACTGTAAAGAACTAATGGAACAACAGAACATAAAAAACTTAAGGGTTTAACTGGAGCACACTGCAATATTGCATGAAAATTTTAATGTATTTATTTATAATTAAAATATTTCTACATTATACTTTTATATGTATATTTAAATATATAAAAATATATAAAAATGAAATATCTAAATATAAAATATATAAAAATTATATTAAAAAAATAAAATAAT